CCGTATCTTTTACAGCCTGAGAAATTGGGGAGGGTCTCTTCTGAAACTCTTGCCCCACCCACTATCCAGCTTCAGGCTATGCTGTCTGCACCATTCCCACATACCATTACAGTTACAGTGCTGATGTGATCACCACTAGGAGACCGGAAAGAAGAGATTGGAGTAGATTGTCATGGAGATAATCTATGGGGTCACTCGAATCAAAAATAACTTGATATCCCATAATCAATCAATCTCAATCCTTTTAGAATCTTCTTTACAGAGTCCATTTCTATTTACCTTACTCATTTCTGACCCCAAAACTTTTCCTCTGAATTAAAGCCATACTTTATGAAAATAAAGGAAATAAAGCAAGTAATTGTTAATTCATCATTTCAAATCTTGACAGTAAGACTGACAAGCACCCACCAAGAATTATTTAATAGATACGTTACAGACAGAAAGGGATGGCCCAGGCGATTTCAAAAGAAAAATATACAATATTTTTCTATAAATATGGTGAGTTGATGAAGGCAGAGTTCATGTGCTATAAATTATAGTGAGAGAATATCCAGGTCTTCTTAGCTCCCCCCCAGACTCCACCAACTGGACGTCACATTGTACATCGAGAAATATAGAGATATATAGAGATATATATAGAGATATATATAGATATAAATGTGTGTGTGTGTGTTTAAATGAGGTGTCCTGCATAGAAAAACAGAAAATAGAAAGACATTCTGTATAGAGGGCAGAATTAATTCTGATGATTGCTGCTAAGGACATCAATTTTAGCCATCTGATTATTTTTGCTCCCTCTAATGAATGGAGGGAACTGAAATAAGAGGATTTGGGAAAATGCACAAACTGTTTTGGTGGGTGTAGCCTGAAAAAGAAACCATGTGGCTCCTTTAAAGAGGAAGTTGTGCCCCAATTTATGTATTGTTTGGGATAAAAGAGCCCCTCACTGCATTGACCTGATAGGTTTCTTTGCACACAGCTGATCTACATGATTTTCCCATAACTTTCCAGGCCTATAGAAACTCTCCAGGCAGCCATGTTTCTTACTACTGTATGAAGCCATGGGAGAAAGGGCCAGTTTACTTTAGAGTTAGTAGAACAAGGGCTTGCAAAACATCAGAACTTCTGGAAAGTGATTCAAGATAACAAAGGATAACTGTGGGCTAACTCTTCTCTTTCTGTTTCCTTTTGATAGGAGAATAATTCTTCTCATTTCTTGTCCATCTTGTATCATTCAGTTGCAACAGATCACTATGGTTTTGATCAGTATGAGACTTGGTGGAAAGCAGAATTTTAACTTCAGTTATTTTCCATTATTTATTCAAAGTTTCTTCCACTTTTCCTCGATGAATTCCATCCCTACATGCAGTACCCTGCGGCTCTTTTAGGCATTTTCTATAGCTCAATTAAACCCAAAGTTGCATCTGACTATACATAGTCCTCAGGATATAAGAGGCCCTCGGTGCATTGATCTTCGCCATTTCCTATTGCAACAATGAGCAAATCCTAAAATCCATGGATATATTTTTCTTTATAGTTTAATAAAAGAAGAACAGATTTATAACAGAGGCAATAAAAGAAGTAATTGTGGATGTTCTCTTTCAAATCTTGAAACAAAAAGAGATAAGCACCCACCATTAATTATTTAATAGCCATGTTAAAGACAGAATGGGATGGCATCTTTGATTTCAAAAAAAGAACTATTAGAGACTTTTCTTTAAAGAGAGTGTGTTGATAAATCCATAATTCAAGCAATGTCAACTAAGCCGTTAAGAAGGATATACTAAACAAATAGTTGGGTGCCCGCAAGACACACAGTTAAAATCAAGAAATCAGTGAATAACCAGCATTCTCTCAGAGCACTGAGAAAAATAAATGTATCACTGGGCATTCTTCAAGTTGGAATAGAAACATAAAAGTCAAGGGACAATAGAAAACTGGGTAATATTTGCATAAAAGTGTCATTTTCTCCATTCATATTATCAATTTATTTGCAACAATTTTGACTTTCTTTGCAAGTCTTTATAAGAGTCGAGACAGTCCTGTTGAATTCTTAATACATAGGATAAAGAGCAAGTTTATTTGAGGAAATACAAATATTGCTATGGGACTGGAATTGCTGTTGCTAAGTGGCACAGTCATATAGTGCAATGTCTCATGACCACATCACTTAACAACAGCAATTCTGGCAGTCCTAGTTGCCATCAATAAGCGAGGACCATGTAGGTCATTAGGTGAGGACCTCACATGACCATGACTTCCAATTACTTGATGGCTTCCCCATTGAAATTTGCTTGTGGAAAGCTGGCAGGGAATGTCGGAATTCACGATCATGTGACCGTGGGGAATCTGCAGTAACTGGAACTCCGAGGACCCATTGAAAGTCCCCCTCATTCACTGCCGCCAGAAGTTTGAATGGTGGCTGAATGAGTGGTCATAACTGAGGACCCCCCGTACCTGAAATTATAATGTGAGACCATAGAATTTGTTTCATGTTTTTTGCTTTGAATTTGACTGTTAAGCAAAGAGGATGTGGGATCCCAGTCTTTCCCACGCTCTGAGGTCAGTGGGGAGGACAGCAGGTCAAGGCATCCCCTGGTTGATAGGGGGTGGGAGCAGGAAGTACCAGGCAGCCACCCCAAGGCAGGAGGACAGTTCAAAATATTCAGACTCAGACGGTTTCTTGGAGAAGATCTTTGCAATTGCCCATATTAGGCTCCCTTGGCTGAGCCCAGGTGAGGGGAGAGAGATTCAGGAATCAGTAGATCGAACATAAATTCAGGTCGAAGGAATAAAAAAGGAGGATACTGTAGAAAAGAATTAAATGTATGAATGTTGGTGATATTGAGAGAACAAAAGGTGATTGAACTGCATAATAATATATAAAGGAAGAATTGTAGGTAATGAATCTTTATATCTACCTCTAATGAAATATTCATTCATTCATTCATTCATTCATCCATTCATTCATTCATTCATTCATTCATTTTAAGCACCACAGTTTATTCTACTGCCCTGATATTCCCTTCATCTTTCCTAATAAACTGCTAACCAGGTTCCACGGTGCTTAATCCAAGATCAGCTCTGGCCTCCCACTTGCTATGATGTAGATTTACAGACTGCTTCTCATTCCAATTACACAAATTCAGCTTTCTGTGACTAAATCAACTTGGAGAGCTGCGGAGAGGAACTGAAGGTTTTTGCTTGGCTTGAGATTCGCTTCCTCTCACTGTGTCTCTCGCACAGTAATAGACTCCCGTGTCTTCTGCTTTCAGGTTGTCCATCTGCAGATTCAGCTGGCTGCGGGAATCATCCCTGGAGATGGTGAACCGTCCCTTGACTTTATCTGAGTACCTAATTGGAGATGAGGATCTACCTATGTCTGCAACCCATTCCAGTCCTTTCCTTGGTAACTGTCTCACCCAACCCATGTAATAGCTGCTGAAGGAGAATCCAGAGGCTTGGCAGGAGAGATGGAGAGACCCTCCAGGTCTTCTCACATCCCCTCCGGACTCCACCAATTGGACCTCAGATTGGACACCTAGAAAGAAAGGATTTTAATATTTTTATGAGCTCTTCTGTACACAAGAATAACAACAGCAACAAAAACAGCAACAAAAGAAGTAAATTCTACAGAAAGGGAAGAATTACCTCTCAGGACTGCTAAGAAGGACACCAAGTTTAGCCACAGGATCATTTTGGCTCCCTCTAATGAACGGAGGGAACTGACAGGAGAGGATTCAGGAAAGTGCAGGGACTTTGTATTGGTGGGTGGGGTCTGACAAGGGAAACCTTCTGGCTCCTTTAAAGGGGAAATTGCGCCCTGATTTACATAACGCTTGGGATAAAAGAGCCCCTCTTTTCATTAAGATTTCTGTGCTCCTAAGTTACATGGGTGATTTTCAAATCGCATTCCAGCCCAAAGGAAATTCAGGGCAGGCACTTTTTTCCTGTGAATTCACAGGAGAAAGGGTAGGTTTACTTTAGAGTAAGTAGAAATAGGACATGCAGAATTTCATCGCTTCTCAAAAAGATTCCAGGTAACAGAGAATAAGCGAGCATGAAGCCTTGTTTAATGGAACGCATTACAGACAGGATATAAAAAGACAAACTAATCTGATTCAGTTAGTTTGGTACACAATTCCTTACTTAACCTTTTTTGTTGTTTATTAGAAAACCCCAATGTGGTCATAAAGCCTTGAGGAACAATTTTTAAGCAGCATTGTCACATCCAGCCAACTCACAAAGGGATGCTCAAGGAAACCATCTTCTGACCATTCTCTCAGTCGAATGAGAAAGTTAAATAACTCCTTTTATATTCTCCAAAAATTTCAGTTTCTTCTAGATTTAAGAAAGCACATCTGTTTTAAACTCAGACGTGGCTTCACAGTGAGATTTATAGTCTCCTGAGATGCTGAATTCTTTCAAGATCCTTTGAGGAAGTTTGAAGGAAGTAACAGAAAATATCATCCACCTCGGAAAAGAGACCATATTTGCTTTTATTCCTCTGCCCCCATCTCTGCCCCCCCCCCCACGGCCAAATGGGATGGTAATGCCCCCCGGGGTCGGGGGAGGGGGGGAGAGGGAGTTTAATAATTCCCCACGGAGCCTTTT